CTCCTCTCCCTCCCTCTCTTCTCCCTCTCTCCCTCCCTCCTCTCTCCCTCCCTCTCTCCCTCCTCTCTCCCTCCCTCTCTCCCTCCTCTCTCCCTCCCTCTCTTCTCCCTCCCTGCCTCCCTCCTCTCTCTTTTCCTCTTCTCTCCCTCCATCTCTCACTCTCTCCTCTCTGCCAGGTGCCACAGCAGCTGCATAAGCAGGATCCTGGAGCCCAGCCCTCCCGGTCTCTGAGCGCCAGGCCTGGACACCTTCCCCAGGACCACCCTGCACCAAAGATCAGAGGTGGGGCCACACGCAGGGCGACGTGCCCACCACCCCTCAGCAGCACACCCACTAAACAGCCCGGAGTTGTTCTGGAAGAAAAAGCAAGAGGCCCACTCTTTCCTTCCACCCCAAGCGAGCCGGTTCCTCTTAGGCCAGATTCAGTTCCTGCCTCCGAGAAGGTGAGCAACAGAAACAGGCAGAACTTCCCTCAGCTCCTCCAGGCTGGCCCAGGGCATCCCCTCTCCCCACCCCCACCTCCCTCCCGGCTGGCACGGAGACAGTATTCCTGATGGGCCGAAGGCCTTCTTCCTATCGGGGCGAGCGGCCTAGTGAGGGGAGCACCACGCTTCCCAGGGCAGAAAAGCACAGAGGCAGAGCCTGGGCGCCTCAGGCCAAGGCCCCACTCCCACCCCTGTGAGAGGAGGTGGCGTCCACGATGGGACACAGCAGGCGCTGGGTCGCCACTAATCCGGCCTACCACAGTGCTTCCCTGGTGGGTGTCTGGCCCAGTTCTTGCTGGGGCGACACCTGGGGACGCCACCGTGTCCCCTCAGGGCCTGCTGTGTACCCACCATGGTGGGTGCCCTTGTCATGGGAGCCGCTTGCCAACACGGAGCACGTGTGGTCATCGCATCATCAGCGAAGGGCTGGAAAGCTGCAGCGCCAGAAGGCAAGCCCAGGCGTGTGGCCGTGGAGGCCGCATCCTCAGCCACCGTGCCACTCTGCACTCAGGCTGGCTGGGCACACCTTCACCTTGTACAGCAGGAACACAGCAGCCACTTGCTTCCACTGAAGCTCCAGGCTGTGCCCGGCCCTCACCAGACTGAAAGAGAAAGTCTTAGAATCCCAGGAGCCCTGGATGGCTCAGAAGTGCCATTGAGTACTAGGGGTGAGCCCAGGGTGTGCCAGGGCCCAGCTCTGCCCAGCCAGTCCCAGCAGGAAGGAGCATGTCCACAACATGGGAAAATCCTGCCAAACACCGGGGTGGATGGGGGACGCTCACGGTGCCAGACCTGGGCAAGGGGCCATGAAGGGACCCTCAGAAAAGGGGCAAACACACACATGGCTGTGGCCAACTGTCCTGCCCGTTGGGACTGCCCCAGAGGAGGGACTGAAATAACTCAGGAGCAGATCAAGAAGCCCAAGGCAGAATTCTGGGGTCCTACAAGGCCTGCAGGAGGCCCCCTGAGTGGGGCTCCAACTTTCAACCTGAGAATTCCAAGCCTCTGTCTGTCACCATCATCACCATCACCATCATCATCACCATCGTCACCACCATCGTCACCATCATCATCACCATCACCATCACCATCATTGCCATCGTCACCATCACCATCACCATCACCATTGTCATCACTGTCATCACCATCGTCACCATCGTCACCACCATCACCATCGTCACCATCATCATCACCATCACCATCATCACCATCACCATCATCACCATCGTCACCACCATCACCATCATCACCATCGTCACCACCATCACCATCGTCACCATCATCACCATCGTCACCATCATCACCACCATCATCACCACCATCGTCACCATCATCATCACCATCACCATCACCATCATTGCCATCGTCACCATCATCGCCATCATCACCATCACCATCACCATCTCCATTGTCATCACCGTCATCACCATCATCACCATCGTCACGATCGTCACCACCATCACCATCATCACCATCATCACCATCACCATCATCATCACCATCACCATCGTCACCATCATCACCATCGTCACCACCATCACCATCGTCACCATCACCATCACCATCATCACCATCACCATCGTCATCACCATCACCATCATCACCACCATCATCACCACCATCGTCACCATCATCACCATCGTCACCATCACCATCGTCATCACCATCACCATCATCACCACCATCATCACCACCATCGTCACCATCATCACCATCATCATCATCACCATCATCACCATCATCATCATCACCATCATCACCATCGTCACCATCATCATCACCATCACCATCACCATCATTGCCATCGTCACCATCATCACCATCATCACCATCACCATCATTGCCATTGTCACCATCATCACCATCACCATCACCATTGTCATCACCATCATCACCACCATCGTCACCATCACCATCACCATTGTCACCATTATCATCGCCATCACTATTGTCACCATCGTCATCGTCACCATCGTTACCATCACCATCATCACCATCACCATCACCATCTTTGTGGCACCCATCATGAGTTCTGGAAGAAGTGGCCAAGCATGGGAGATGCAGGGGTGGCTTCAGCAATGCTGTGTCCAAATGAGCCACTGCCTGCCAGGGCTGCTTGGGGCACCCTGGAGCACCATGAGACACTGTCGTCCCCACAAGGAGCTGAGACACAGACAGGTCGCACTGTGAATTCGCATGCACGACGTGACAAGAGGTCCCGGCTCGAGGTTCCCAGTTTCCAAGGCTCCATGCTCCCAAACAATAAACACAGATGCCCTCAGGACAGCCACCCGACTCTGTTCAGCAGGTGCCACACAGCCTGACCTCAGTGTCCCAAGCTGGCCCTGCTCTGAGGGGGGTAACCAGGCTGCCTGGAGACAGAGCAGCTCCACGGGCCCCCAGCATCCCTGCCGCCCTCCCCCACACGCACGGCCAGAGTTGGGGCCTCCACTCACTCAGGAGTGCTGACCCCTGGTTCAGCCTCCCTGTCAGACGGCCTCAAGCCACTAAGTCAGTGCCAGCCACAACCAGGACCTCAGAGGCTACTGCTCTGTTCTTAGAGGCAGCAACACTGCAGAGATGACTCAGAAGACACAGAGCCCCCTCCCCCTCCTTCCCACCATCCAGCTGCAAGAGGGGCTGTGCCAGGGCAGGCTCTCCCGAGGACCAGGATGCCCTGGCTGAGCAGGGTTCCAGGAACAGTAAGGCTGGCCCTGGCCACACTTATGCCCTGCCAACATTACCACTGACAGTGGCCTGCCCTGTGCCCACCCCACCCATGGCTCCTGCCTGCTCTCCTCATGGGAGCTGCTATCCACTCACTAGTCATCTGCTCCCTTGAGAAAAAACTTCCTGTCTTTTTAAAAAAAATGTGGGCCAGACACGGTGGCTCACACCTGTAATCCCAGCACTTTGGGAGGCTGAGACGGGCAGACCACTTGAGGTCGGGAGTTGGAGACCAGCCTGGCCAACATGGTGAAACCCTATCTCTACTAAAAATACAAAAGTTAGCTGGGCGTGGTGGTGGGCGCTTGTAATCCCAGCTACTCAGGAGGCTGAGGCTGGAGAATCACTTGAACCTGGGAGGCAGAGGTTGCCATGAGCCAAGATCACGCCATTGCACTCCAGCCTGGGCGACAGAGCAAGCCTCAAAAAAGAAAAACTGTAGTAAAATACACATAACATACAACTTATCATTGTGACCATTTTGGGTACACGGTTCAGTGGCATGAAGAACGTTCATACTGTTATGCAGCCGTCACCGCCGTCCAACTCCAGAGCGTCCCCACCCTCTTAAACTGCAATTCCGGCCCATTCACCTCTGGCTCAGCAGCCCCTCGCCCGGCCTCGGCGCCTACCACCGCGGCTTCCGTCTCTGTGGATCTGACCACGACAGGGACCTCTGGGGCCTGCGTTCTTTCGTGACTGGCTTGTTGCACTGAGCACAGCGTCCTCCCCGGTTGTGGGCGCGTTGGGCTGAGGCCTATTCCACTGTCAGGTGCGTCTTCTCGGCCCGTCCTCGGCTGACCACCACCCGGCGGCTTCCTAGCTTGGCCGCCGTGCTGCTGTGAACAAGGGCATACTAACATCCCCGGACCCTGCCTTCAGCGGCTCGGGTACACACCACGAAGAGAGGCGCGGCTAGCTCGGTTCTGCCTAGTCTTTCGAGGAGCCGGTACGCTGCTTTCCGTAAAGGCTGCGCCACCCAACCCTCCCAACAGCGCGCGGGGAGACCACCTTCCTGGACGCCGAGGCTGAACTTTGTTAACCAAAATATCCGCCAGGTGCCAACATGAACAAATCCTTTGTTCTTACGAGCCGCAGCGCCTGCCCTACAGCTAGAAGATGAAGTCTTTTGGGGACCAGGACATGGTCTGGCCATGAGATTCTTCCACCTGCTCTCGGAGACCCTGATGGAGGAGGACGGGGTAAGAATGGATGGCACCGGCAGCCCTGGGCAGTGCCGAGACTCGGTGACTGACACCACGGCCTGGCCTGGCCTCCAGGGAGTCCTGAGGAGCAGGCAGACCCCGGAGCCACCTGTGGCTGCAGGGCGGGGGTCACCTGCAGCCAGAAGGCCGTTAGTTCCCTGTGGTGAGGGGGAATGCAGGGCTTGGCTCCCTGACCTCCCCTTTAAAATCTGGAACGTCCACAGACCTGGAAGATGTGGCCTCTCAGGGAAGCTGCTCCGAAGGAAAGACCTCCCACAGAGACGAGAGAGGAAGGGCAAAAGTCAAGGTGTTTTCCTTCCAAATTATTTTATTTAAATATTAAATTAAAAAACATACATCAACTAATCATTTGGCATACGTTTCTCATGTTAACGTAAGAGGTAAAATAATTCAGTTATGGTAAAAAAAACTATGTACATCTCAATCAGATCACGTAGTGTCTTTAAATAGGCTACCGCATTGCCGTCTATACAGCACTGTCAAGAAATCTACAAAACACACATCACACACTCTTAACAAAACAGGAAAAACAGGCCTTTAACGTCCTCCAGGAGGTGCTACAGCAGTAAGAAAAACAAAACCACAATGAAAGTAAAGTGCTTGTCATTGCTTCGAAGAGGAAACACACATGGTTTCCGAGGCCTTTGATCTGTGGCATTGCAACAGCAATCATTGTGAAAGGCGGAGGGGCTTGTGTTGAATCAATTGTGCTACCTCTGTGAAGGTGAAGGCAAGGGCCTGGCTGCCCACGATGGTCTGGGTGCTCTCCCATCCCAAAAACTTCTCTATGAGTGAACAGGAGACTTTGGTGTTTTCTCTGCGGCGAGGCCCCAGGTCTGCCCTCCAGACAGCCCTTCGCCCAGCCACAGAGCAGCAGTAGCAGCAGGAACGGGGGCAGCCAGCATCCCCGCGGCACAGCCCAGGCGCAGCCCCCGTGGGCGCTGGCAGCCCAGGGACGCGCCTCCAGAACCGGCCCGCCTCCCTACCCTCAAGTAGCTGGGTCAATCTTTGGCTTTTAAAAATACCCGCCTGTCCCCTTTCTCAACGCCTCTGTTTAACACTGCAGGGTGTAAGAAGCCGAAGCAGCTGAAGGCACCTGGGCTGGGTTCAGGGCGAGTGGGAGCAGCATTTCCTTTGTTGCCTTTCAGAGGCTTCTGGCTGATGGAACCTCCCGGAATCCACCTGCCAGAGGTGCGCCCCAACCTTTCAGGTAAGGGCTGCCCCTTCCTGCCACCTCCGCCCCAGCACTGAGGGAGGAAGGCCCTGGGGCCCCTTCTTCAATGCACGCCTGGTGCTGACCGGGACGCTTCTTACCATGAGTGAGGGAAGCTGAAACCTGAACACAAAGTGTCGTACAAACTCCAACCACGAAGTAGTGTCTACCTGTCACCCGTGCAGGTGCATGTGCAGGGTCTGCTTTAAAAAGAAAAGAAACAAAAAAAAAGCCAAAGAGCCCCGGCAAAGACCGGGCGATTTCTCGGGAGGGTCCCAGCCCAGGCAGGCGGCCCTGGGCCCCGAGTGTCTCCTAGCTGCCTGGCCTGCGGTCGGCCCCTGCTACTGCACAGCCTGACCCAAGGCAGGTGTTCTCCCGGACCCCACCATGAAATGGATGAAGGTCTTCAGCAGCTGAACGCGAGGTGCAGCAGGAAGAAGCTTCTGGGCTTCTGCCCCAGGGAATCTGGGCCACGTGACCCTCAGGACGGAGTCCCCAGCACTTTGAAGTCACCTCTGCCCTCTTTGAGGTTCTTCCTGCGGTCCCTCTAAAGAGTCCTGGAAAACTAACTCTTGAGCAGTTTATAAAACTTCTCATCTAAAATCAGGAAAAAAGTGTCTTCCAGGTTTTCATTTCAGGGGAGAGAATTCCAAGAACCTGGAGCTGATCTTCGCCTGGGCTGACCATGTAGAGCTGCTTTAAAACTGATACATGAAGCCAGAGGTTCACAGTTTTCATTAAAGCATAAATCAGGAAGTGGTGAGTGTTAACTAAAGAAACGGATACTAATCAATGCCCACACGCGCACACACGCGCGCACACACAGACGTGGACGACAGACAACGCGCCCGCTCGTTTCCGTGGATGTCCGAGGTCATCATCTCAACCACGACGAAGCTGCAGAGGGGCCGAGATCCCCACACCTCGGAGCTGCAGACGTCCTCCCTCCTCCCTGCTCCCCTCCCTGCCTCCGCCCCAAGACACACCCCTCAATTATCTTCTTCTTAGTTTCCAGTCCTTACTCAGAGTTGAGGTCACTCAGTGCAAGAAAAAAATTAAACAAAAATAAACTAAAAGCCGAAACCCCTAACGTATTGCTTGTTTTGCTTCTAGAAAGTTCTTGGCTTTGAGTCCAGATGTCCTCACCTACTCTGAACTTATTGCTTGGAACAGTCAGTGTCCTCCCAGGACTCGGGGCCGCCCTCACTGCACCAGGACAAAGGTCCCCAGGGGGCAGGGGCTCAGGTCCTCCATCTCGAAGTCCCCCTGCAGCAGCCCCAGGGGCTCACAGCCTGGGGCCAGCCTGGCCGGGCGAGGCAGGGGCGCAGCAGGGAGGGCAGTGGGGCTGGCGCCAATATGCAGCTGTGTGTCTAGGAGCTGCGCGGCCGAGGTCACGGGGGAGACGCCGGCCTGCAGGAGCGGGGGTGGCAGCAGCGGGAGCCCTGACGTGAAGAGGGTGCTGGGGAGCAGGGTGGCCCCAGGGCCATCACAGGGGGCGATCACAAATGGGGTGGGGTTCGGCTGGGGGGCCTGTGAGCAGCTGGGCGTGGCGGCCGGGTGGTGCTGTAACTGGAGCAGCCTGTGGGAACAGAAGACGGGCGGTCACCGAGCAGGCTCACAGGGGTCTCAGGTTTCCAAGTGCCTGTGTGGCAGGGCCCGCCTGTGGAGCTGCAGGCTGCGGCTGCCAAGGGCAGGTGCCTGGCTGATCCCCCCACGGCACCCCACCTTGCCTCCTCCACCTGGCCTCTCAGCACCCCAGAGGTGCAGTCACGAGGTGCTGTCATTCGCTGCCACCCTCGCCCTCCCCAGGGCTTTAAAAGACACACCTGCCTGCTGCACCTAAGACCTGTGCCCTCCACACTTCCCTGGCTGGGGCCAGGGGTGCCTGCTGGGCTACATGGAGGAGGGAACCGCTCAGCAGATGAGGTTCCTCCAGGACACAACCTGCCATGTGCCCTCCCGGGGTCCCAGGGTGGGGGCAGGCCCTACCTCTGCTGCTCCAGCACCTCCTCCAGCAGACTCCGGCCCTCCCGGCTGCTGGCCGCACCGCTGTGCGGGCCCGGACTCTGTGCAGGGGCGTGGAAGGGGCTCAGGCCGCCCCTGCTGGCACGGCTGGCGGGGGCCTGGCACACCTGGCGGGCGAGCCCCTTGATTTTGTTCAGCCCCAGAAACCCTTTGGTCCGCGCGGTCTTCCTCAGTTGCTGCCGAAAGGCCTTCAGCCCTGCGGGGAGACCAGGTCAGGAGGTCAGTGGCCTCCCGCCTCCCAGCCCAGCATCCACAGCCCTTGGCTAATGGGGTTTCCAAGCCTCAGGGAGGGCAAGGAAAGGACAGGGACACAAGCATGGCCGGAGGAGCCTGATAAGCCAGGGGCCCTCCGTAACCCCATGCCTGCTCCAAGTGGGGAGGAGCTGCTCAGCACGGGACCATCTCCTGTGCTTTCAGAAGCAGTCTCGGCGGTCACGTGCTCAGGGACCCACATATGCTTCCGTCCCAGCAGGCTGTGACCTCCAGAGCAGGGCACACCCCAGTCTGCCCAGAGCACTGCAGGTCCCACCCAGGTCTGGTTGAGAATATGGGGCGTCATCCACCATCAAGGATAGTCACAATACTGCCAGAGGCGCGCACGGGGCCTTGGAGAAGGTGCTGAGTGTGGGAGGAGCATGGCTCACCTTGAGTCAGTGAGGTGTCCGACGCCCTCCGTCCCTCCTGGAAGCTCACAGGAAGTAGGACAGCTCCTCCCAAGCCCCCCTGGGCCTGCAGCACGGGGGTGGCAGACTGCGACCCCAGAAAGGGCGAGGCCAGCCTGACTGGGGAGCCGGCGCCCAGCAGCCCCTGAGTGGCAGAGGTGCCACTGAGCTCCATAGGGTCTCTGCTCGCGGAGAAGGTCAGGCAACTGTCTGAGCTGGTACCCTCTGCAGGACTCGCTGTGGCGGACGGGGAGATGACTATACCTGTAGGGGGAGCACGGTTCTCTTGATGCTGCATGCAGAGGAATAGGCTGCCCCGACCTCCCCATCCCTGCCCACAGCCTGGCTGGAAGAGGGCTCGAGGCCACCAGAGCCCAGGCATCCCCAAAGGCAGGCCATCATCGTGTGCAGCTGCAGGTGGCGGTTCATAGTGGTCCTCAGACCCGGGGGCTGCCCTCCCAGCACCCGGGGGTGGCCTGGGAAGACCCTGCTGGTGGCCAAACCCCATGCTGTGTCCTCTGCTAGAAGGAGCACACGCAGGGCAGACTCTAAGCAGCCACAAGATGATCTCAGGGATTAAAACCAGTGGCAAATCTGAAGTCCAACCCTGAGAGGCTGCCAGGCAAAGGTCCATTCTAAATTAGCCCGCTCTCCCATAGACTGCAAGCCCATCCATCAGCGTCCTCCTGGGTCCCCGGGGCCACTTACATGGAGCGGTGAGTGGGGATAGGCGGCTGGAGACCTCGGCCAGGGTGTGCCTCCGGCCCGTGCTGCCAGGCAGGGACTCCTGAGCATCCTGCTCTTCCTCGAGGCCCGGCCCCTGCCTGGCCTCCTCACTGATGGCCGTGTCCAGCAGGCTGCTGGGGGACAGGGGCCGGGGCCGGAACACTCCGCTGCAGCCAGCATCCACCGGGAAGAACAGGGGCTGCATTGGAGAGACAAGCCAGTGACTTTCTGGGCTCCGGGAGAGCCGGCCGCACACAGTGAGGGCACCACGCCGGGCTGAGGCGAGTCCCCTGCACGCCCGCTCTGGGCACTCACCCACTGCAGCGAGCCCTGGAGCTCACAGTCCATCTCGGCCTGCAGGACGGACTGCACCAAGGCCTGCGGCTGCGGGCACAGCAGGGCGGGTCGAAAAGGGTCAGCGGAAAAACCTTCCCGAGGCACCTGGGCCGGAGACAGGAAAGAGGCCATCAGGGGAGTGGCCCGGGCCGGCCGGCGCCATCAAGAGGAGAAACAAGCTGGCTGCTGTCTGGACCATGAGCTGCCTCGCGGTGGGCGTGATGGCTGACTGAGGGGCACTGGCTGGCCGGGCTGGCTCAGGACTACATGCCACTGCTATGCTGCCAGGAGGTGGCATGACAAGCCGGCTTCAGGGATGAGTCAGGAGCAAGTGGCCTCTGGGCAGGGTCCAGCCCCCAAGAGCTGGCACCCCCTTCCCCACGAGGCCTGGGACCCGCTGCCCACAAAAGGAACCACCCTCCAAGCTGGTGCCTGATGGGGGAGGGAGCCTGGGGCCCAGGAGGAGATGCCTGCTCACCTCCAAGCCGCTGAGGTCCGAGCTCCGAGGCCGCGGCTGCCTGGCAGGCCCAGGGCGGGTGCACTGGGCATTCCGATACTCCTTGAGCCGCTCGAGGAGGAGGTAATAGATGGCAGCGAAGTGGTTATAGCTGCTGTTTTGCAGTGACTGGGGACAAGAGGAGCTGAGGTCAGCTCGGGGGCGGCAGGAGCCCCAGGGCCCGCCCGCTCCAGGTTATTCTTGGGTGACTGAGAATATCCTTTAGCGGGGTAGACAAGCTGGCCCCTAAATTAGCCTGCGCTCCTGTTTTAACTCGGCTGGTGAGCACCTGCTTCCCAGGCAAAGCTGCCCAGCCCCTGCATGCAAGGCTGGGCGAGGGTGGCCAAGCTCACCTCCACCGTCCTCTGCCGGTCAACGCCCAGGGTCTGCATGATGCCCAGAGCCTGCTCGTCGTAGTCACCAAGGTTGGAGCTGTAGCTGTGCGCAGAGAAGGCAGGGCAGGCAGGCCCCGGCAGGCAGGGCTCCGGCAGGCAGGGCTCGGCCCGCATCCACCGGTGCTGCCGGATCTGGGCGATGCTGATGCGCCTGGCGGGGTCCACGACCAGCATGCGGCGGATCAGGCTCTCACAGTCTGCGGAGGGCCAAGAGGCTGAGCCGGGGCAGCTGGGACCGTGCCTGCGCTCCCACCCACTACTCCATGTGGGCTGGTATGCCAGGGGCCAGGAGCAGGGGCGAGGCCATTAGCTCGGTCCTGCCACCCAAGGTGAGGCACCAGCCAGGATCCAGTCCCTGGGGGCTGCCTGCCACTCTTTGTGTCCACCACACAGAGAACCACTTGGGTCCACCGTTCTGCCACGCCCTGTGCCTGAGCACTGACATAGAAAAGCCGGGTGCACCACAGCCAGTGGGTTAGACTCAGAGATGAGGCTGGCACCTGGGCGAGGGTGCTGGGCAGGGACAGAAGAAGCAAGGCACCAGCCTATACAGTGAGGGCACCGCCCACCCACCCTGAGAAGGCACCTGGGGGCGGGCTCTCTCCTGCGGCCCACAATAACCTGGGCCTGAGTCCCAGACTCAACACGGACTCAGAAGCCAGCTGCACAGGGGCTGCAGGAGACACAGGCCCCTGCCCACAGGGGACCCCACGACGCACCTTGAGACATGAAGAAGGGGATGCGGAAGCGGCCCTCCAGCACCCGCTGTCTCAGCGTCGGCAGGTTGGGTCCGTCGAAAGGGAGAGAACCGCAGACCAGGACGTACAGCACCACGCCCAGGCTCTGTAGAGGACCACGGAGCCACATCAGCGCCAGTGGCCCAGGGGACACAGCACCCCCAGGGAACACAGCACCCCCGGGGAACACAGCACCCCTGGGGGACACAGCACCCCCAGGGAACACGGCCTCTGGCAGGGGTCTGCGTGCACGCGGCTCCTACCCAGATGTCCAACTGGGGGCCTTCATATTCCTTTCCCTCAAAGACTTCCGGGGCGGCATACGGGGGGCTCCCACACCACGTGGAGAGAGGCTCTCCTGACTTGTAGAAATTCCCAAATCCAAAATCTGAGAGGCAAAGAAAAGGATGGATGAAGTTAAACTGCACATGGCAAGGGCCTGCAGTTTCGGGGCGTGTCGGGAAGCTGGGGCAGCTTTCGGGCACGCTCCCAGCCCAGGGCCTCCATGCCTGCCAGCCTGATGCCCCCGCGCCCACCCTGGGGCCCGGGAAGCTGCGGCGGCTTACGGGCACGCTCCCACCCCAGGGCCTCCATGCCTGCCAGTCTGATGTGCCCCCCCCACCCCCGGGGCCCGGAGCCTCCATGCCTGCCAGCTTGATGTCCATGTTGCCATCCAGCAGCAGGTTCTCCGTCTTGAGGTCCCGGTGGACGATGTGGTGGTCGTGACAGTACTCCACAGCGGACAGGATCTGCCAGAACTTCTTCCGCGCCTCGCTCTCACTCAGGTGCCCGTTGGAAGTCAGATAATCTGAGGAACCACAAAACAAGCTAAAGCCCCAGGGCAAAGCTCCTTCCAGCACCTAGGAGGGCCTGGAGACACCTCAGGGTCCCAGGACGTGTGGGCCCAAACACCAGCTGCGCAAATCCAGACACGATCGTGCCATTTTCTTTCAATGGATATTAAAAACAAGTGTGGCTTACCAAACATTTCTCCGTTTTTAGCAAATTCGGTAACGATGTAAAGCATGTCCTTTGTTTCCATCACCTAAAGAAGAAAGACCTGAGCTTAACCACGCAGAAAAGGCAGACACCAGTGCTACAAATAATCCACCAGAACCCCAGTAAATTTTTAACTTCTCCAGGACAAAGACATTCATCATTTAAAAATGCAAAGAAAGAGAAAATCTCCTGCAATGAAAAAAAAATACAGGAGATTCCTACTCACAAGGACGGCTTCAAAACCAGAGGTGAACTCCTCACTGACTATCCTGCTACGCCTTTGCTCTTACAAAAAGCCTAAATATATTAGAATTCTCCTCTGCGGTCATATTTAATCCAAGTCACCTCACATACAACTTGAGACTGCTTAGGTCGGGCGTGGTGGCTCACGCCTGTAACCCTAGCACTTTGGGAAGCCAAGGCAGGAGAGTCGCATAAGCCCAGGAGTTCGAGACCAGCCTGCTCAACACGACAAGACCCCATCTCTACAAAAAAGACAAAAACTAGCTAGGTGTGGTGGCAGGTGCCTGTAATCGCAGCTACTCAGGAGGCTGAGGCAGGAGGATCATTTGAACCCGGGAGGCAGAGGTTGCAGTGAGCTGAGATCACACCACTGCCCTCCAGCCTGGGCAAGAGGGCAAGATTCTGTCTCAAAAAAACAGACAAAATCCTAAGGGCTACAGAGGAGGAGACTGCTAGAAGTCTCCTGGGCTTTATAGAAGCCTAGCAGGCAACAGATTATTCCAGCCGACGGTCAGAGCCACCTGAGTAAGAGATAACGCATCCCCCATTCCCACTTCCTTTACTGAAAGGACAAACAAGGCTGTCAGAAGCCAGCTGTGCCAGGTCAGTTGCGGTGGGCTGCTCAGCACACAGCCCATCACTCAGCATGAAGCTACACAACAGCCGTGATCAATAACTTTATTTTACTTAAAAAAAGATTTAAAGTATAACATATCTGTGAGTACTGAAAATTTTTGGAGAGGATGAGACAATATATTCTTATGAAAAAAGATTTCTTTGGGTTCAAAATATACAGTTACTCCTTTAAAAAGGTGATTTGTGCTGGGCGCAGTGGCTCACGGTGGTTAATCCCAGCACTCTGGGATTACCCAGGCAGATCACTTGAGGTCAGGAGTTTGAGACCAGCCTGGCCAACATGGCAAAACCCCATCTCTACTACAAATACAAAAATTAGCCAGCCGTCATGGCCTGCGCCTGCAGTCCCAGCCTCTCGGGAGGCTGAGGGAGGAACATCGCTTGAAGCCGGCAGGCAGAGGTAGCAGGGAGCGGAGATTGCACTGCTGTCCCCCAGCCGGCTGACAAAGCAAGACTCCATCCCCCTCTCCAAAAACTGCTTCAAAGAAAGCTGCTTTGAGCTGTAAATCTAGTAAGGAAAGTGTTGTATAAATTTTAGCAGTTTGGCAAGAATTTTAACTGTCCCACCAGGACTCGAAGGCCACGGCTCACCCCATCCCCGGCTGAAGAAAGGCCAGAGGAGGAAAAGAATTAAGAGTCAAAGTGTTTGAAGTTTTTGAAACCCTAAAAAAGGGGGAAAGTGTCTCAGCGGGGTTCTGGGGCCCTGGCCAGCAGAATGAAAATTAGACACTAGCAGCCTGGCACAGCGGCTCACGCCTGTAATCCCAGCACTTTGGAGGCCAAGGTGGACAGATCATGAGGTCAGGAGATTGAGACCAGCCTGGCCACCATGGCAAAACCCCGTCTCTACTAAAAATACAAAAATTAGCCGGGCGTGGTAGCGGGCACCTGTAGTCCCAGCTACTCGGGAGGCTGAGGCAGAAAAATCACTTGAACCCGGGAGGCAGAGGTTGCAGTGAGCTGAGATCACACCATTGCACTCCAGCCTGGGCAACAGAGCGAGACTCCGTCTCAAAAAAAAAAAAAGAAATTAGACACTACCATCAAAAGCAGAGGAATAAAAGTCATTGCTACACCACAGGATTCTATCATCTCCAAACCGTTAAGAATCAGGAGCAGCAGCAGAAAGTAAGTGTCCGACCAGCAGAGGCCTCCAGCCCCAATCACATGGGCAATTTGTTTCTTTACCGGAGCTAATTCCACACAATGGGCAAAGGGGAAGGATAGGAAGAAAAGGAAGGCACTGCCATCAGAGCTCGGCCCTGGAGCAAAGTCAAAAACAAAACCAGCTCAGCCCACCCCCGAGGAAATGGGCCGGGCTCCCTGCACAGGCAGTGACATCAGCAACCAGGGAGCACACAACTTAAAGATGACAACAGAAGCAAAACACGAGCCAGGCGCTTCGGCACCGTTCTGCACGGGAAGACACTGAGTGAATGGGCACCACGGGGAGCACGAGCTCCAGCAAGACCCCTGCTTTTATTTTAATCCAGTGCAGGGGCTTTGAGGGATCAATTCAAATCGCAATTCCCTCTCCGACCACACTGTACACCGAGCCGTCCCAAGTGCACAAACACAGCCACATCCCGGAGTCATCTCGGATTCCATTGTGTAAGAATCATTAAGAGGAAGACAACCCAACACCAGTGGATGAACAGCACCTGCGAGGAGCTTATTCTGGAAGAAGGCTTGATTTCCCCTTTGCAAAACTGGTCATTCATCATTAGGGAGGTGAAAAGGCTGCTTTGCTGTTCTAATTAAGTTAGTACTTATTTCCTAAAGATGTAATTTATTAATTTCAACGTGAGAACAAAAATTAAGTCACAAAAGAAACCAACAGATGGGCAGAGCGAGGCTTGTTCCTAGCGCCGAGGACAAGCTCCTCGCTCTTACTACGGAAAAGTATTTTCATCTCTCTGTTTTTCACGGAAGAGTTTAAATAGGGGAAAAAAAACGCTCACAACTGTCCTTGCAAAGATAAACCAATGAAAACCAGTAAGAGCTGTTGGCTTTAAAGTTTAGTAGTTATCTGCAAAGGCGGGAGGTTTCCAGTTTTACTCAAATTTGTCTTTTTACGCTAAATGTGTGACCTGTGGCAATACCTATAGATGCGTTTGTTTTCACAGTAAAGCAATTTTAACAACAGATCTGTACACATTTAAAACTGGATCAAGTTAGGACACTAAATAAAATTCCAATGAAGCAAATCTCAATTATGATCCGAGAACAATAAAATAATTGTAAATATATCTGCACGGCCTATAAAAAATCAGTCTATTTACCTTATACAACCAAAAACCAACTTCCACACACCCTGCAAAAGGGAAGCCACATTCAGAAATTGCAGAGTTACATTGTTGAAAATAAAACAGAACACGTTTGCCAGGATCAGCAAGACAACCCGAGCCCTTACCTGGTAAAGCTTTATGATGTGTGGGTGGTTCAGAAGCTTCATTAGCTGAACCTCACGATAGATTTTCTCCAAGTTGCTTGAATCTAATCGTGTTTTATCAATTATTTTTATTGCAACCTACAGATTTTAAAAAGAAAAATGATATTTTGTGTGTTTTTTTTTTAAAAACCTCAACCTAATTTACACATTTCATTTTTTGCAAGATAATTTCTCAACACTTTGTCTCCAAAATGTCACAAGAAGTTAGGAAAACATAACCAAGAAACCACCAATGTTATTTAAAATAATCGGAGCTAAGCAAGAGCCTCAGGCTCACTTTCCAGGGCTTAGCTGAGTCAGGAACCACCGCACTCTGAGGACGGGTCTGTATTTGCCTTTATCCTCCCTGCTTTCTCCGAAGGTATGTGCGAATTATGCAGAAACATAATACAAAGCATTTTCATTCTTCACCGAACTAAAAAACGGTGACTGTTTACCACGACAATCAAGGCTGGAGCGCTGAATCTGCATGGGGTCCACCTGGGCCCAGTGGGGAAGCCCGGCCGGCTGTGTCCCGCCGCCCCACTCACCTGCGTTTTGGTGACTCGATGCCGCGCCAGCTTCACCACCGCGAAGTTGCCTTTGCCGAGGGTCCGCTCGATGTCGTAAAAACCCACCCGGAGGGGCTTCTGCTGGCCCTGACCCGCCGGGTCCGCGCTGAACTCCGACATGATAACCATGGCTCCGCGCACCTGCGGGGTCGCACAACGCTCAGAGACCACCAGCGCCCCCACCGTGTGCGGTCGACTCCATCCATGCCCGCGGAGCCCCCAGTTCCCACGGGATGCGGGGACCCGCTCCCACGCCTGTCGCCACCACCCTAACCACCTGCCCTTCCAGCCCCCGGAGAGGCGTGGACCCGCCCCCGCCGCCAGCGGTCCGCTCCACCTGGACCCCCGACCCCCTGAGCCCCGCAGGGCGCGCGGACCCGCTCCCACACCCGCCCCCGCCGCCCGAGTTCAGTTCCGTCCGGATCCCAGGACCCCCTGAGCCCCGCTTCCATCCTCACCCCCCGCTGCCCGCTGTCGGTTCCGTCCCCACCCACGACCCCCTCGGCACCCCTCGGCGAGGACCCGCTCCCACACCCGGCCCTGCCGCCCGAGGTCGGCTAGATCCGGATCCCAGGACCGCCCCCAGCCCCGCTCTCACACCCGGCCCCCGCCGCCCGCGATCCGTCCCGTCCCCACCCCCGACCTCCCCGGCACCGCCGGGCTCGCGGACCCGCCCCCCACGCCGGGCCCCTCAGCCCACGGTCGGCTCCAACGCGACCCCCGGATCCCCGGCCCCGGAGCCCCGCGGACCCGCTCCCACCATGGCCCACGCAACAAAGGGGAGCCCGCGGGTGGCGGGACCACCGACCCCGTCCGTGACCCCCCGCGCGCGTACGACCGGGGACCCTAGTGGTGGCCGCAACCCCGAGCCCCGGCCCGGCGCCCGCGCGGAGCCCCCACGGCGGCCACCGCCGCCCGCCCGGAGCCCGGAGCCCGCCGCCGCCTCACCTCCGCCGCCCCCGGAGCGCCCAGGCCGGGAAGCCGCCCGATCGGCCACTCGCGCTGCCGCTGCTGCCGCCTCCGGGACCGCGCCGCATGTCAGCCCAGAGCCGCCGCGCTCCGCCGCACGCGGCGCCCGGCCCCGCCCCGCCCCTCGGGCCCCGCCCCCTGCCCCGCCCCCGCCGCCCGGGCGGGGGCCGCCCATTGACGTCACTTTGACGCCAGGGCGACGCGCGGCCGAGCGCCGGGCGGAGGGAGAGCGGGAGATCGGGCGGTTGCCAAGAGACTGGCGGCTCTGACGCGCGCGGGATGAGGCCGTCGCCCTGGCGACCGCGGGCCGGTGACGTCAGGGGCGCCCGCCGCCCGAGGCCCGCCCGCCCGCCTGCGCTCCGCCGGGCGCCCCCTCCCGGGCGCTGGGGGCACTGCGGGCGGCCTGGCCCCCCACTCGCGGGGACTCGGGCCGGGTCCCGCGGGCGCCCTGTGCTGGCCCCCTCCGGGTGGGGACGGCTCTCGGGCCGGGGTCGCCCGCGTGGGTCCTGGCTCCGAGTCTCTGGACTTGAGGGGACTCGGGGGCCTCGCCGGCTCGCTTGAGGGGCGGGTGGCGCGGAGGCCCCCGGGCGCTGCAGGGCGCGGGACACGCGAGGCTCTGCGTCCGCGCCCGGGTCGCCCCAGGCCCCGAGAGGCCGCCCGCCCGCGGGAACCCCGGCCGCTTCTGCTGTTAAAATCTCACATGTTCGGCAAGTTCGAAACTTGAAACCCGAGGAAGCGCGGCCAGCCGCTCGGGAAGCCCCCGCCGCGCAGCCGGCCCGGCCCCGACCTCGGCGGCACTGGCGTCCCCGCGGGCGGTGATGGAGCCTGGCCGGCCCCCGGGGTGGGGGCGCGGGGCGGGGATGGGGGCGCGGGCAGGGGATGGGGGCGCGGGCAGGGGATGGGGGCGCGGGCAGGGGATGGGGGCGCGGGGCGGGGATGGGGGGGTCGCGGGCAGGGGATGGGGGGCGCGGGCAGGGGATGGGGGCGCGGGCAGGGGATGGGGGGCGCGGGGCGGGGATGGGGGCGCGGGGCGGGGATGGGGGCGCGGGCAGGGGATGGGGGGCCGCGGGGCGGGGATGGGGGGCCGCGGGGCGGGGATGGGGCGCGGGGCGGGGATGGGGGCGCGGGCAGGGGATGGGGGGCCGCGGGGCGGGGATGGGGGGCCGCGGGGCGGGGATGGGGGCGCGGGCAGGGGATGGGGGGCCGCGGGGCGGGGATGTGGGGCCGCGGGGCGGGGATGTGGGGGCCGCGGGGCGGGGATGTGGGGGCCGCGGGGCGGGGATGGGGGGGCGCGGGCAGGGGATTGGGGGGGCGCGGGGCGGGGATGGGGGCGCGGGGCGGGGATGGGGGGCGCGGGCAGGGGATTGGGGGGCCGCGGGGCGGGGATGGGGGGCACGGGCAGGGGATGGGGGCGCGGGGCCCTTTCCCTGCGCGCGGCCGCTGCCTCTTTTCTCAGGGGGACACTGAGTATGGGCAAAGATAGCTTTAAGCGTGAGGACCCATTTGGGCGTTAGAGTCTGGATCGAGCCTAGGGTCGTGTTTGTGTTAAATACTTCTCAGAAGTGGGAGCGAGAATTCACGGAAGTTGGCACAAAACTTGGAACCCTTCTCGGGAGACTGTCCTGCCTTGGCGGACGCCTGGGACGAGGGCCCGGAGGACCTGGGATGAGCTGCTCCCCTGCGCCCCGCGGGCTGACCACAGATTTCCCAGCCGCCCCCACCACACACACACACACACACACACACACACACTTTTACACACGTGCGCGCGCACGGAGCTTGTCTGGGAGTCAGTTGGCTTTGAAAGGCTTTCAAAGAAATGAAGAGTCCCCAAGTTTTCCTTAATCGTTCGAAGTCCTTTTTCTTTGTCCCAGGTTTATACACCATGAGTATGGGGGAATATTTTTAGTTCCTTTCGGCTAAAGAGTTTGCAGGGGCTCTTCTCCCTTCTGGGGTCCCAGCACCCTGTTAATCTGCTCGGAGGGGAAGTAAGCAGAAGCAGGGCTGGACGGTGACTCCCGCCTGTAATCCCAGTGCTTTGGGAGGCTGAGGCAGAAGGGATCACTTGAGCTCAGGAGTTTGAGACCAGCTTGGACAACATCGTGTCCCCTCTATAAAATATTTTTTAAATAGCCAGGCATGGTGGCTCGTGCCTGTGGGGCAGCTACTTGGGAGCCTGAGCTGGGAGGATGGCTTGGCTGGGGGGTTGAGGCTGCAGTGAGCTGTCATTGTACCACTGCACCCCTGCACCCCAGCCTGAGCAACAGAACAAGACCCTGTCTCAAATAAACATCAAAGGTGGGGTGGGGGAGAAAGCAGGCCCCTGATCCTAGTCACAGTTCAGTCCCTCAGTCTGTGACTTGAAATACCTGCCCCCTCATCCAGGAAGCCAGGCTTCCCCACCCCTCCCACCCTAGCCAGAGTCTTCCAAAGGTCGTGGGTATTTGCAAACACCTGGCTGGCTGTTTGGAAACATTTCATCAGCACCAGATAAAAATTGCGTTGGCAGAACAGTCCCCAAACTCAGGTGCACTTGACCTTTCATCCTGACCCGGTCCTGAGCTTCCAAAACCCGGAACAACCCTGTGCCAACCATGGCTGTCCCGTTTTTCCTTCCCCCCGCCCGGTGGGCGAGGAGCTTGCTCTGCAGAGAAAGGCAGGAAGTGCAGAGGAAAAGGCCAAGCTTGGAACGGCTGTCCCCTGCCCCTCATCACTGAGTCTGTGCTCCGACCCGACCTGCGGGCGCTGCCACCCAGTGTCTTTGCCTGTTCTTTGTGTCCTTGACCTCCAGAGGCTGTTTCCTTTCAGAGGCTTTGATTGCTCTTCTGTTTTCTGGTCTTCCATGCTTTTAACACATGGGGAAAAAGAAAGATGTCGCGTGAGGCTGAGGATGGAAGCCAATGACTGGAGGAGCCCCTCTCTGAGCACGATGGAAGAAACACTCTCAACGTCTGCAGGGATGGCACTTTAGTATTCTTTTTTCCACGCGGAATTTCTTCAGCCCGTCTTATGATTTCTGTGTTTCTGGAGTTCATCTTGTGTCTTGGGCCTTAAGACTTGAAACCACAACAGGAAATGGGTCCCTTTAATATTCCTGGTTCTAGCGCTGGCCACGGGCATGTCCTGAAACTCCCAAATCCATAAACGCAGAGACTGGAGCGTGGGGCAGCATTTTTACAAAGGCATGGGTGCCCAGCAGGCCCCAGCGCTGCCCTCCATGAGGAAGGAATCTCCGTGCAGCCACGAGTGAGCTGGGCTGTTCCCTGACCCACCTCTCCTCTGTGGTGCCCTTCTCTGTCCTCCTGGCTGCTTCAGGTGGTTTTGTCCTTTTTTATTGCCTTTGGCTTCAGCCTAGTGGCTTTAGGTGCCAGAAAATCAGATTAACCACTGCAGCAGTGTCCTTCTCAGGGACCTGGGGGCCACCTTGGTCATTCTGCCCATTGTATCTGGAGAGCTTGACAGACAGACATGTGTGCGCCAGGTCAGGAAGTCACAGCCCTGTCCTGGGAAGGGCAGGTGGGAGAAAGCCCCCAGTCCCCTCCACCCTCGGGGAATGGCCCAGTTGTCCACAGCCTAACTCAGGAACCTCGGTGAACAGGGCAAACCAGAGACTGCCCAGTCCCAGCATCCACCCCAAGGGCGTGGCCTCCTTTGCCTCCTACCCCAGCTCCCAGCTGCTGCAGCTGTGTGGGTCTGACTGTGCCCAGGGTGCCTCCCCGTCTCAGACAGCACCCACCTTCAGGCCAGGCCTTCCACAGGTCAGTGCGTTTTCCTGATATTTAAGCAGGGCCGTGGCCGGGATCAAGGCTGCTTAAATGGATTATGAAGGCTGGCAAAGCACAGCTCACCCTCGCCTCCCGACGGGGAACCTGGGCAAGGAGGGCCTTGGGGCCGGGGGATGTAACTAGGGTAGGGTGTTAAGATTGGAGGGACTAGAGGGGCAGCTTCAGGTCTGCAGAGCAGAACGGGGACCAGCTGGGCTTTCACGCTGGCCCCAGCAGAAACTTGCCTGTTCACCAGCCAGCTGGCCCTCCCCACTCCAGCCCTCTAGGGTTTCTGGTTCCGGTTTCTGCCACTGCAGTTAGTGAGGAATTATTCATGTGGCCAATGTGTTTTCTTGATACTTAGGCAGGGACGTGGCGGAGATAAAGGCTGAGGACTCAAGAGGCCTTTGGGTGTCTGCATCCCTGACCCATATGCTGAAGTCGGAGGGCAGGGAAGCGGGGGGTACAGGAGGGGGCCAGCCTCAGTGCAAGTCAGCCAGGCCCCAAAAAACCATGGGTTGCCCCAGGGTGGGGAATGCTCACTTAGGAAGAATACCATGGACAGCCTGGCTGGGGTGTGCCCTGTGCTGAGCAGGCAGCTCTAGAGTAAACCACCCACTGCAGGTGGAAGGAGACCACATCTGCAAATGGAGCAAAGGTCCCCAGAGACGGAGCAGAAGCCTCTGGGATGCTGCAGACTCGGGGGACCAGGACTGGGGCCCAGAGAAGGCCGCAGGTGCTGGCCGTGCCCTTTATCCTGGGCAGCCTGCCAGGGCTGCACACAGAGCACGGCTCCCGGGAGGTGGAGATGTCTGAGTGGCGGCTCTCATCTCAATGTTGCCAGGTGACCTGCTGGCTGCCGGCACAAAGCATGGTAAACACTCTTTTTTTTTTTTTTTTTTTTTTTTGGTTACTATTTACTCGTTCAAAAAAATGTGTGAGTTTCTGTCATTTGCAAGAAGTGTGCTAGCTGCCATGAGTCAGCAGGTGGACATAGGTGAGCATGGCCAGACTGTGCCAGGACATGGCGACAGACACGGGAAGGGACGGGTCCCCAGAGAGAGGTGAGATGGTGCCATGTGAGAGAGTTCGGAGTCGTCCTCCAGATGTGCACAAAGGCTTGGGAGGCCCTGCTGTGTGTCAGGTGCTGCGTGAAGGTTGTGGAACAGTGGGAGGGACCTAAGGCACCTTCTCTCGAGGACCGCCTGTTCCAGGTAAGGAGACACGAATGGCACAAACGATAAGAAAAGAAATCCGGTGGTGGAAAAGTGCTGGCAGGAAAGCGGTCTGGAGGGAGCTGCTTCTGGGCATCTCCGTGGGATCTGCCGGGCAGGGACTGAGCACGAAC